CCCCCGCCCCCATCCTCCCCGCTCCATGTCGCGACATGTCAGCGGTATAGACGCAACCTTGGTGTGGCCAGATGGCACATCCCACCGCACACCTGTCTGTCGACGCCTTTTCCCTCCCTCTACCCTTCTTCCGGTCGCCACCTGCTTGGTCCAGGCGCATCCACCCAAGTGGCTGTCCTCTCAGCCCCCCATCCCTCCCTCCTTGCGCACACCTCTCCACCTCCTTCCTCCCCTTTTCCCCTCCTCCCGCTCCGTATCCGCTCGAGCACGTTTCGAAAGTCGCCATGTCACAGAACTCAAGCACCGCCCCCGTCAGTCCTCACGACGAGTCGGCTGCTAATCTGCTGATCTCGCAGAAGAACGCCGCTCTTGGGCGAGGCGGCGCCCCCTCACAGCAGCAGCAGCAGCAGCAGCAACAGCAGCCCGGCACTCCCTCTCTGGCACCCAAGCCGGAGCCCGCTCCCGCGCCTGCCATCGAGACACTCACCGCGTCCGCCTCCACGGCCACCCTCACCGATGTCATCTCTCCATCGCCCACTCCCCCGCAGGTGTACTCCGCCATGACCGAAGCCATGCGTCGGGAGCTGGAGGTCCTGATCGCCACGGCCCCCGAGTCCAAGCGCCTGGCCTTTGCCCAGGAGATGGAGGGCTTCACGGAGCTCTTCACGCGCTACCACTCTGAGCGTGCCTCCGGCAAGGGAGCCATCAACTGGATGGAGATTCACACCCCACGCCCGAATCAGGTACACGCCCGCCGGGGACCTTCCGTCACAGTCTCCTCCCGTCCCGCCCGTCCCCCCCCCCCCCACTGCCGGTCACTGACTTCTGTCCCGTTCCTCCCCGCGCATACTGGCACACACACAAACACCAACGGACACGCTTCTCCTGTGGCCCCTCTCCCTCTGCACCGCAGATCCTCCAATACGACGTCCTTGCCCAGCCGACCGACAACATCGATGCCGCGCGTGCCATGCTCAACAAGCTGGTTGTCCTTAAGCTCAATGGCGGCCTCGGCACGACGATGGGCTGCGTCGGCCCGAAGTCTGCCATCGAGGTCCGCTCGCAGATGACCTTCCTGGACCTGACCGTCCGGCAGATTGAGGTGCGTCTCCCTGTGCTGTCTTTTTTTTGGGGGGGGAGGGGGGGGGGCTGTGGTTTTAGTCACACACACACACACACACACACACACACACACACACACGAACACACGCATACTGATCATCCGCCCCTCTTGCCCTGCTCTGCCCCGCCCTGCCTCGCCATGGCGCCCCACCCGGCGCACAGTTCCTCAACCAGACCTACGGCTGCGACGTGCCCCTGATCCTGATGAACTCCTTCAACACCACCGACGACACGGCCAAGATCATCCAGAAGTACAAGAGCCACGACGTGCGCATCCTCACCTTCAACCAGAGCCGCTACCCGCGCTTCAACCACGAGAGCAATGCCCCCTGCCCGAACAGCTTCGACTCCGACAAGCGCATGTGGTTCCCCCCCGGGCATGGTGATCTGTATGACAGCTTTGCCCGGTCCGGCCTCCTGCAGGAGATGCTGGACCAGGGCCGGGAGCTGATGTTCGTGTCGAACGTCGACAACCTCGGGGCCACGGTTGACCTGGCCATCCTGCAGCACATCCTGCAATCGGCCTCGGAGTTTGTCATGGAGGTGACGGACAAGACCCGTGCCGATGTCAAGGGCGGCACCCTGGTCGACCACCATGGCTGCCTGCGCCTGCTGGAGCTGGCCCAGGTGCCGCCGCAGCATGTCGACGAGTTCAAGTCCATCTCCAAGTTCCGCAGCTTCAACACCAACAACCTGTGGATGCGCCTGGACGCGGTGTACCGTGTGGTGGCTGAGCGTACCCTGGAGCTGGAGCTCATCGTCAACCCGAAGACCATCCCCGAGACCGGGGAGAAGGTTGTCCAGCTGGAGACCGCCGCTGGCGCGGCCATTCGCTTCTTCAAGAATGGCATCGGCCTTTCGGTTCCGCGCTCGCGCTTCCTGCCGGTCAAGGGCACCGGCGACCTGCTCCTGGTCCAGAGCAACCTCTATTCTCTCTCCCATGGGGCCATGGTGCTGAGTGCGTGCTTGTCTGCCTCTGTCCTTTTGCCTCTCTCTGCCTCTCTGCCTCTCTGCCTCTCTGCCTCTCTGCCTCTCTTTTTGCCCCCCTCCGGCAGCCTGCCTCATGGAAATCCCCTATTGCCTTGACCTCCAGCCTCCAATGGCCTGACCTGTCTATTGCCTCCAATTCACACACACACACACGCACGCACGCACGCACGTACACACGTGCGTACAGACAAGAATCGCGCTGTCAGCACTCTCCCTCTGATCAAGCTTGGCTC